ATCTCTATACTTGGCTTATAATTAACCTATTGAGTGAATTATAGCATTGCAAGGAACATCCAATAAATTTATAATTTTTGCATACAGTTTGTCTGATCATGCCCAAGAGATAGAACGTAAAGACCGAGAGAGAGAAAGAGAGGAAGAGGAATACTTGCCTCGACGTGGGAATGGGTTGCTCCCGATGCTCGTATACTCATTTTATTTCTTGCATACTTGGGTTACAAGAGTGGGGAACCAAAAGCCCCTATTACATGAAAGGATCCTTCTATTTATAGAAGATAGGAACAAATGAACTATTATATCATTGCCCTTGCTAAAGAGGGAGTGCATTATAACTTCTTGCCCTCTACCTTTTGTCTCAAGATCCGTATATATCATTTTTTTATGTACAATAATGTTATTAGAATAATATTTTTGGCATCAAAGAAGAGATTCTCATCTCATTGTTGCACAAAATCTTACATAAACATAAATAAGTAGAATGTGACTTGCAGGAGTGAGATTTCTTATATGAAAATTTATGAAGAGAAAATTTGTTGGGTCAAACTAATTTAAATTAATCAATTTATGCAGTTGAAAGTTATAATGTGCTATTATTACCCATCCAAGGCAAAATAATAAAAATTGCCATAATTTGTGGTGAGTGATCAATGCAATGGCGTCCAATGGTGAGTATATGTACAAGGCATTATTAGTATTGGTATTATTGGTATCTAACGGTGGACATTAGCGACGATCAAATATTAGCAGAATGGTGATTGACGGCTGACCAAAGGAAAATATGTTGAGATTTTCATATCTATTTTACACTGATTTTGATGATATTGCACTTTAAAGAAATATATTTTTGATGTTTTATTGCAGGGTTGAATTATGTTTTATTGCAGGTATGTTGAATTATGGTCATTGGAGCAAAAAGATGCAAAAAGGAGCGAATTTGGAGCAAAAAATACCAAAATATGAAGATTTGATCTTGGGCGCCGGTGGCGAGCTCGACGGCGGGTTTTTCTCAAGATTTTAGAATTAAATATTCTATAAGGCCGCCGACGACGCCATCAAGGCCGCTGACAGTGAGCACGTCGGTTCTCTCAACAGATGCATTGAATGTGGACGATTTTTGAATGGACGCTTGGGCAATTCTTGAAAACTCTTCTACAACTTTAAAAGAAACAATTTGAAGGCCGAGAGAGGTTGTCCACGGGTGTCCACGAGTGTCTACGAGGGTCTACGAGGGTCTACGATGGTCCACGAGAGTCTACGTGTGTCCATTAGAGTGTAGAGAGTGTAATTTAGGATTAGTATTGTGAGGAATTCTTCGAGAGATTGTAAGAGTGGAAGGAAAGTGAGAGATTTCTTCCTCCTTGCCGCTTCGAAGGAGAATTTTGTGTGTTGTAAATAAAGGAAGAGATTCAGAGGAACTTCGAGGAGTTTTCTTTGGGAGGAATTAGAGATAAGTTGTATTTACTTATTGAAGTTTGTATGACTTTGCTTTTATATATAAATTCCAAGTTTTGTTGTATCTTCTCCATGAGTTCTGAGTAGTTTTCTCTGTCTTTCTCCTTGTCTTGAGATTTT